AGGTGGAAAGACCACAGCTCCTCACTAGCTCCGATCCTTATGCTTACCGACCCTCAACCTACATGGTCATGAGCTTTGGTAATATGATTGAAAAGAATTGAGATTTCAGAAACAAAGCTGAAATTTAAGTTTCCTCAACTGGTGGCTGGGGGCTCAGGACTTTGGTGAGGAGCGTTGGACACTCTGGAGGAAGCTTAAGAGCTAGAAGTTGCGTGGTCCCTTCGCCCGTCGGAAAGGAAGCCAGGGTGAATGTTGCCAGCATCTGTTATCGGATGTCTTCTGGGCACGCGTTGCATGTGGAGTCCGTCCAGGCCATCATCTATCATCCAATTGGTAGTGACACTCGGGACTCCCCCAGAGGACGTGAAAATGGTGTTGGGGAGGAGGAACATTGACATGACTTGACTACTTCGCTTGACCTGTGCCACCTGACGCTGACCTGTGTAGTAAAGTGCGAAGGAAAGATAGATGGTAGGATGGATGCGATGGATCAATGGGTTCATTAAACGTCTAAGTAAGTTGTTCAGGTGAAGTTTTGCGTGGAAGTCTGCTCTATTAGACTATGGATTATACATAAACCTTATTTAGTATAGCTCGTTTTCACGAAAACACAAAGTTTTACAATGTATGCTTTTCATAGACATAAAAACAGGACTTATGAAAAATGTGGTATGTAATGGCAAGCCGACGAAAGGTTGAGGGCTTGCACATTCAATTGTTTAAGGACCAACAAAAGTTTAAGTCACAAATCTGGGCCAGTAGTATTTGGGTTTTTCTTGCTGTGGACCTAAATTGTTCAGTACATGTTGTATAGTATCTAATCAGCAGGCCACAGGTATTACAGGTGCAGTTGTCAGTGGAAATGGAGTCCCTGTAGATCAAGGTCAGTTTCAATTACTGGCCTCTTGTAATCAGTGTTATTCATCTGGCTCTTTGATCAACATCGCTATTACTGGGGCCTTCATCTCTTGTTGTCTCCCACGGGGCATAAATTACCGACAGAAAGCTGGTTTGCTAAGTGGTTTTGTTAGGAAGTTGGCGTCACAGCTGGACCTCATTAATATGATTGGAGCACGTTTGTTTCAGAATCATTACCACTGATTAGGCTGGCTGCTGTGGTAAAATGGGAGCACAGTGATGCAAACTTTTACAACTGTTTGTTTGCTTATTATTCACAACAAATTTTAACAATGCCCAAAACTCTGAATATTGAGAAGTTCCTGTTATAAATAACTACAAGCCCATGCTGTAGACTGGTTTATGGGACAATCATGCTCTTGCGACAATTAGAATTAAATATGATTGGTGCAAGTATCAGCTCATTAATACATAGGAAAGATCATTGTTTTACTGTCTGGATTGTTTTACTTGTACCAGTGACCTTACTGACGCTTCATGTTCACTTCTAAATGCATTGGAGCACACAACATGTTCAGTCATTTCACCCAACACCCTGCCGCCTGGTAAACTGTGGCTGAAAAGAATACGAACGCATGGCCAAGAATTACCTGTATAATTACATACTTTTTTCTAATCCTTTTTAATAAATAGATATCAGAAGATATATTAGCGTCACCAGACATACAAGCTAGGACACAAGATGCTAACACTGTTAGATTTAGTAAACAGTCTTTAGAGCTATGCGTCGGCTTTGGTATCAAGGCTTGAACGATGACTGTCAAGCCTTGAGTGTTAGTAATCCAAGGTAGCTAATCGCGCTTTCAGTCAAGCCATCATTCACTAAGCAGAATTAAGGCTAGCTTGCATAACATGTGTGTATTGTGTTTGGTAAAAATAGAATATTAGTAAATTACATTCAAGCATTAACATGAATATAATTGTTAATGTTACTTTGGTGACAATCTAAAAGAAAAACCCAACAGGATACAGTAACAAGGATTAAATTTGTTTTTTACTCAAATGTGATTTGCATAGGCTTACATTGCGTTGTGTTCAAGATTAGAATGTTAAGCTGTTTGCTCTATCTGCTGGTCATGGTGTTTGCTACTTACAGCTGTGAGTACGATAGCAGGAACACTAAAACAAATTTAAAATTTCTCCAGAAATATCTTGCAAGCTACCACTGTCTGCAGTACATATGTAGTTCTGTTAAACATTGAAGACTATACAAGATAAGTCTTGTACTGAGGAAGGGAAGAGGATCGCACGGGTGGAGGAATCAGAAAAATTCCTGTGATAGAGCACACACATCATGTTTGCAAACTGCATTGTAACTTCTGGAAGTTCAGGTATTTTATTTTAAGTATTTTTTAAATGAGCAGAGCAGTGGATTTTCTTGCGGACAATCGACACCTACCTGCCGAGGTTGCCATGGACACGTAACGTTGATTCCTTCTTTAGGAGTAGAATGACAAGCCACGCACGGTGGTCTCACGAATAGCAGTTTGTTCTTTGTAACTACAAGATGTTGTCAGAGATGTGACCTCGTTTCTAAAAAACCATGGGAGCACACAACAAGTATTTATTATTTAAAATTTTTAAAAATATATAGCTATGTTTTAGAACAACACAGCTGCTGTTGGCAGCTTTTCTTTCACTTTCTAATGCACGAGTCACAGTTATTGGTACAGAGAAATAATCTTGCATACTGTTTTGATATTGCTTGATGATAGTCCCCATGTGACAGATGGCGTTCACATACATTTGCAATATGTAATTCAGTTTTTTCAGTTCTAGATATCTATCATATCTATTGGTCAGAAAAACTAAGTAGCAAGGCGACCATATTAAAGACAAAAATCAGAGATCAGTAGTTTACACTGCGCATCATCGTACAAGACTGAAAATGTTGACATATTTTAATACCATTTAAACAACACAAAATCTTTTTGAGGTAGAAAATCTAATTGTTGATTATTCTACTCATTTGTAATAGACCAGGTAAGTGAGGGATCAGATGGGGTGGAGCTTTTACCACCATTGACTGAAGACATGCAGCGGCTAGAGTTTTTCAGTGAAGGAGGCAGCCACAGTGAAAGCAGTAGGATACGATGTGCAGTATCAACATCATAGAAGGCAAACCAGGCCATTCTGCTCAATAATCCACAAATCACCGCCGAACCTTCTCAAGGCTTTTGCAGGGAGCTTGATTGGAGAGTCAGCATGATGAATGTGCCGTATTCTTCCATTCATGCAGACCTATAGTCCCAGTAACCCTCTGTTGGGATCAGTGGACCTTTTCCCTTGCCTGTTGATTGACTTTCTAGACCCACTCCAAATCCCAGTCAGTGTTTGCGTTAACATTGAACACTCATAGTTAAAATAACTTCCTGCAAGAGAAACCCCGCTTTCCTAAAAACATTGTACAAACCAAAGAAAATCTTTCTTCTGAACTGTCTCTGCACATTTTTTCCTTAATCTACTATGCTTTAACTTCTTTTCCATCATCAGACAGGATGAGTCTGGAGTGCTCTGTATCAGGATTAAGTATTCACATCCACTTGCATATCGTGGACCTTCTTCAAGCTCCTGCTTTATTCTCATTTCACCCCAACTGCCTTGCTTTCTCAGTCTCTTGAGCTGTTCAACCAGTCTCTCCAACAGCTATTCTCACAGGCCTTCATATAATCGGTGGAGTATGCTGACCATTTGTCCCAGTCTGGTTGGTAGAGACCAGCATTAGGGACAGGAAGCTTGGAGGAAATCTAAGTCATCTTCAATTGTATGCAGAGCTCCACCATCTTAGCACCTTTGCCTCTTTGTGAACTCTAAGATTTCCCGTTTCAGCTCTCTGATTGAATCTTTGGCCCGTTACCTCTGTCGCTTTCTCTGCTTCTCTTACAATGTAATCACTCACGTTCTTCTGCTTGTCTTTCCATCAAAATTCCTTAAAAAGTTGAAGATTTGAACACACCTGTTTTCTCTCTGTTTGCATCTTCTATTACTGACCTTCACAAGGTGTTTTGATCTTGCTGAGATCTTTCATTCGTCTCTGTTCAATCATAATTTGAATGTTAGCCTCTTGTCTTCCCCAGTCCCTCCGATCTTCTTCTGTTCTTTATGTGCTTCTTCCAGAAGGAACGAATATCATGCTTCGCTGTGGCTCTAAATACCATACAGTTGCTATGCAGACACATCTCTGGTTCGACCGTTACAAACAGCTCCAGGGGCTTTTTGTGTTGTTTCTCACAGAATCTGACGTTTCAGGTTCTCTTACAGGGTCGGCTCAGCTGATGTCTTTGAGTGCTTGACTCTGTCATTGAGGCTCCAGGTGAAAGTCTCACCAGTAGGAGGACAGATCTCTCTCCCCTTTTT